GAACGCTCTGGTACTGACTCTCTACTGATCAGCTCAGATGACTTAGCTCACCCTTCGTCTCAAGCATTTGCTGTTTCTTTACGATGAGAGCTTTCATCCTTCTCTTGTGGCTGGTTTGAATGTGTTATCTGTAGTCATTCTGATAGCACAGCTGTTGTGTGTGTGCTTAGCTGACAGTGAATGTGTCCCCTTTATCCAGCCTCTCCGCAGCCTGCAGTATTAACTACTCCACTCTCCACTCCAGTGAGCTCGGCTTTTCTGGATCTCACACATGAGTGAGGTCGTGTGGCCTTTGTCTTTCTGTGTCTGGCTTGTTTATACAATGTCCTCCTGGTTCACCCATGTTGTAACAAATAATGAGATTTCCTTCTTGTATAAGACAGAACAGTAAGTATTCCATAGTATGTATATACTATATATTTCTACTGCATTGGACCACTGACTCCAAGCCTGCCTAGAATGAATTGTGCTATAGGAATTAAGCATATTTTCAAAGTTGTTGGCCAACAGTTTTTTATTTATTTTCTATGGTTTCATATTAGCTTATGTTTTTCTAATAAGAATTAGATTTCTCTAGAATGATCAGCTCTTTTCTAGTGTACCATCTTCTTAGCATATGCTCATTTACAAGCAGCCAGTATCAAAGACCCACTTGAAGAGTCATTTTTTTCTGGCATCACTCTTGTTACTAACTATGATATTACTGGGGAATCCAGTAATAATTAGGTAGCATATTCAAAAAGGAAGTTTAGAGAGTTTCAGGAAAGATGTATTCATACAGGTATGCATATCCTCAGGAAGAACTCTCTCTCTTGCTGGATCTTTTGAGGATGTCCACACCTGTGTGAAACTGGTACCTACAGGAGCAGGTTTGGCAAGTAAGAATAGGGACATAAATACCTTTTTCTAACTTCTTGCTGAATCCACTGAAGCACAACTGATATAGACATTAAAATCAGCTTGTTAAAGCACAAGACAAAATCAAGAAGATGGCAAAATGTCAGGAAGAGCAAACAGGAGAGGCAGCCCAAACACCACGCACAATACTGCACATAAAAGATTCTGAGAATACAGACTGAATGAAGCTAACCCACCTGCTCAAAGCCAGAGCAAGAATACAGTACACCACAATCTCTAGATGCCCAGCACAACATTCTTGTCATTTTATGAGACTGATGTTCAGTTATTGGCCCTGCTCTGCAGTTTTACTAAATTAAAGCAGAGAAACATCATTTCTTGGACAGAAGATCAGAAGTGATAACAGCCTTCTCAATAAGGTAACCATGCTTTTGCAGAGAAATGAGATATAGACACCAGTGCCCATTAACCCTTCATGAACACAGAAGACAGTCTTTATCTAGTACAGAAAATACGCACCATTGCCTTCTGCAGCTGGTCTACTGAGTGATTAGTCACATTTGTGCCATTGATTTCTAGGATCTCATCCCCCACGTGAAGAGAGCCTGCCATTAAACAAACAAAAAACTCAAGTACAAAAGAGTAAAAATTCAAACAATAGCTGTCAGTATAGCTCAAGAATACCACACAAAAGGAACCACAATCTAGGGTATTTTAGAAAATAAATAAAACTCAGTTATTAGAAATATTTAACTAAGAGAGATAAAAAACAAATATGGTTCAGAATCCATCTAGGACAGTTCAATACTGCCTTGTCCTTCCTGATATCAGTCATCCAAGAGCTTCATAAAAGCATCTCATCTTTGAATTCCTGGAATTAGAACAGCTGCCAACTCCAGGAGACTATTAGCCAATGAGTTCAATGTTTCTTTTTTTTAATTTTATTTATATTTCATGTACATTGGTGTTTTGCCTATATGTCTATGTGAGGGTGTCAGATGCCCTGGAACTGGAGTAATAGTTGTTAGTTGCTATGTAGGTGCTGGGAACTGAATCCTGGTCCCATGGGAGAACAGTCAGTGTTCCTACCCACTGAGCCATCTCCAGCCTCTAGGTTCAATGTTTCTTTGTTATTGTTAAACTAAACCTCCAATGTGTTTTTATTTTATTTAAATTATTTATTTATTATATATACAGCATTCTGCCTGCGTGTATTACTGCAGGCCAGAAGAGGGCACCAAATCTCATTGCAGATGGTTGTGAGCCACCATGTGGTTGCTGGGAATTGAACTCAGGACTTCTGGAAGAGCAGGCAAAGCTCTTAACCACTGAGCCATCTCTCCAGCCCTCCAATGTGCTTTTAAATGGTTATTCAATGTTAAAATTCTATGTGAAGGCTGGTTACCAAATTCATGTCATGTTACCTTGAATTAAAAAAAAAAAAAGAACAAACAAAAAATATAGTAAGGGCCAGGCAGTGGTGGTGTATGCCTTTAATCACAGCACTGGGGAAGCAGAGACAGGTGGATCCCTGTGAGTTTGAGACCAGCCTGGTCTACAGAGCAAGTACCAGGGTAGGCTCCAAAGCTACAGATAAACCCTGTCTCAAAAAACTAAAAACAAAACAAAACAAAAAAACAACAACAAAAAAACAAAAAAAACCATATTAAAACATAAAAGGGTTAGGGTTATGATTAGGGTTAGGGTCTGCTGTTGGCCATGCCAGAGGAGCAGCGAGTTACAATTGAAGTTCCAGGTGTCAGCCCAGCAGAAGGGAATCCCCTGATGGGCCAATCTTGTTTAAGCAAGGCCACTGGACTTCAGATCCTGGAATGTCTTTTGCTTCTGCTCTGCCTTTCCATGTTTGCTGTGGTTCTCTTTCTCTGGTATCTAGCATGGTGTGAGTGGACGTGGGGAGATCTCCACAGCCTATAATATAGTAATATCTCTCAGAAACATCCCGTTCTACTGGGCATTTTTACCTGTGGATTATCAAGATGACCCCTCCTCAAGATGTACTGTCTAATTTGATAATAACAATGATAGCTTATACAGAGTTTTGGTGAATAAAAATAAATACAAGGGTATGTTTCACAGCCAGGGTCTGTGAGTCTCACCTAAGGAGCTGCATGGATTGTAGCTCAAGTTAATGACTAACACTGAGTCCCAGTAGCCCAGCTAGCTTAAATTCTCTTAACCTTAATGTTGGGAGATGTGTTCACAGGTCTCGGAGTGCATCACAGCGGAAACAAAGCTTTGAAAATAATGAAGTTAGACTAAGATATTTTTGTTAAATAACGTTGAGGGGAAAACCCAAGAAGACAATCTAAAGTTTTAGAAAGGCACTTAGTTGAATACAGAACTCTTTAAAGTCAGGGAATAAGAACAAAGCAGCCCAATTATTACTGGCTGACGTATTCTCCTTGTAAGGTTTGGTTGATGACCAAAGGTGATGACAATTCCTTATACCCATGTGTGTCCTCGATCTCCTGATATAAAAAACTATTAATGAATGGATATGTACACTAAAGATTTAAAGTAGAGCTGAATGATTCTTTTTCATATATAAAAGTTTAGGTTTGTGATTACTTTAAGATTCCTTATAAGATTACCTTTAAAGATAAGTAATAAAGTAATTGGCCCTTTCTTTGTAACTGCAAAATGCACCCTGACAGTAAAAGACCTTGCTGGCCACATGGTTAATCTATAACAAGTTGCTTGGGTATGAATGTATGTGGGTTCTTGGGATAAATTGGTTTTTGCCTGTAATACATAAAATGTTGAATCATATGAGGGAGATAAAAACAAGTTTTTTACCTATATTCATTCACTTGAGAAATGGAATGCGACTGTTTTGACTCTTGTATTGCCTGGAAAATGTTGGGGTATAAAGGCTATAAAACAACATAAGATGAGAGAGACAGAATAAAGGGAGAGAATAAAGAGAGAAAATAAAGAAGAAGAAAGAATAAAACCATCAAGAGAGTTTGTGAGTGTCTTTTTCCCTAACGTCCCTCAGACAGAAAGTTTAGACTTGCTGACTCCATGGATTCCTGTCAAAGCCCTGTCTGTGCTGCTGGAGGCTGGTCCCCCAGACAGCAGTACTAGTCTACAGAGTCATTTTCAGGACAACCAGGGCTACATAGAGAAACCCTGTCTTGAAAACCCAAAAGAAAAAAAAAAGAAGGTACAGAGGAAGAGATGGTGGTACTGAGTAGTTTATACTAAGATTTACCATGCAATTTTCTAAAGAGTAAGATTGGGTAATATATATATATATATATATTACCCAATATATATATTATATATATTACCCAATATATATATTATATATATTACCCAATATATATNCTATGGTTTTGGAGCCTGTCCTGGAACTAGCTCTTGTAGACCAGGCTGGTCTCGAACTCACAGAGATCTGCCTGCCTCTGCCTCCCAAGTGCTGGGATTAAAGGTGTGCGCCACCACTGCCCGGCTGGGTATATTTTTTTTAAGACAAGATTTTTTTTTTTCTGTGTAACTGTGGCTGTCCTGGAACTGACTTTGTAGAACAAGCCTGTCTTGACTTAGAGATCCACCTGCCTCTGCTTCCTGAGTACTGGGATTAAAGATATCTGCCACCATGCCCACCTTAAAGAGTCAGTTATTAACTCAAAGAATCTCTTGGCACTTTCACAAAAATGATATCAGTTTTGAGGACTATAAACTTCATGTCCCACACCACTGAATAGAGAGTAAATAATTAATCCCAGAATAAAACTAGACTTAGGATCCCTCCTCCCTGCCAGAGTACCTTGTCTATGAATCATGCCACCATGGAGAATTCTGGCCACAGTACATGACTGTTTTTCATTCAGCTTCAAAGTAATTCCCTGGAATAAAGGCAATGGAACAGTAAGCTTTGTTTTAAGCCCTTTCTGAGGATAATCTTGAAAGCATCTAAAAAATTGCAGAGAACACCATTTCCATTTATATCAGGGTCAGTTCTCAAGTAAAAAAAGCAGGAAGCTTGCTTGCTTTGAAAGAAACTTGAGATGGGGACAAAAAACAGTGAAGCTGGCAGATTGTACAAATGAGTGGCCATTGGCAGTTTTATGGCCCAATGATTTCACTAGTAGAGAATAAATGATGAATGACAATAGAACAAGAAATTACCATGGGCTCCTCTGTGATCTTCTCAAACTGTATGAGACGTACTTTCCTTGCCTCTTGCCCTTTAGAATGGGCAGGGCTACCTGGAACAGTAGACCCATTGGTGTACATGTCCTCAGTGGCAACATTCAACTGATTCAATGCAGCCTGTCAAATGAAAACAGATTAGTGGATAAAATAGCAAAGGCCCATGGACAGTCAATTATCTGTAATTAGAAACTAAAAAGCTTTGAAAACCCAGTTCTTTAAGATAAAGGAATGATTTTTTATTAAAAATATTCTGAGGGATTAGAAAACTCAGTGGTTAAGAGCACTGGCTGCTCTTTGTGAGAACTTGGGTTCAATTCTCAACACCCTCAAGACAGCTTACAACTGTCTATTGAGATGCAAAATAGTACAGAAATTGCAAAGGGCCAAACATAAACACCCACTTACTCTATGGTCCAGCAATCCTACTCTTAGGAGTTAATCCAATATAAAAAAAAACTCTGTCCACATAGGAACTTGTTTGCAGATGTACATAGCAGGTTTGTGTGCCCAATAGTCCACCCAAAAGGAAACAACACAGATGTTGACACACAGGAAAACACACAAGCCAGTTGTTCATGAATACAAGAAGTCAAACTACAAAATAAAAGAGATGAACTCAGAAACCTGTTGAATAAAGGAAGTCTTATTAAAAAGAATATGTACAATATGATAAAATGTATGTAAGATTTTAGAATAAACAAAACTATTGTAAATAATTAAGACAGTAGTTGTCTTGAAGGGAAAGGACTGGCATAAGAGAATTAGGATGTTGGTAATATTTGATGCCATGATAGTGTATAATAGTATACTCAAGATTTTTGCATTTTACTGTATTTAAAATTTACCTTAAAAAGTAACCATAAACAAGCTAGGTAGTGGTGTCACACACCTTTAATCCCAGCACTTGGGAGTCAGAGGCAAAGGCAGGTGGATCTCTTTTTGTAGACCAGCCTGATCTACAAATCAGAGTTCTAGGACTTTACACAGAAAAACTGTCTTGGAAAACTAAAAAACAAACAAACAAACAAACAAAACAAAACAAAAACAAAAAAAACCATGAACAAATATGAACTCTAGGCAGTGATATACATACTAAAGTTCATCATACTGAAGTTCATGAAAAAATATGAACTCTAGGCAGTGATATACATACTGAAGTTCTTTGGGGTGAAATATCCTGACATCTGCACCTTGCCTTCAAATGCAAAAAAAAAAAAAAAAAGTGGATAGATGGGTGGTTCTAGGTAGATATATGTGTTAAGGCAAATAAAGCAATATGTCAATTATAGAAGCCATAATGATAATTTTTTTCATCTTTTCAGTAAGTTTAAATTTTTCCAAATATAATATTGGTGAAGAATAGCATTAAGGGAGTAAAAGGGGGGACTAGAGAAAGAGCTCAGTGGTTAAAAGCACTTGTTGCTCTTGCAGAGGACCTGAGTTTGGTTCCCAGAACCTACATAGTGGCTCACAACCACCTGTAACTCCAGTTCAAGAGCATCTGATACCCTCTTCTGGCCTCTGTGGGCACCAGGCACAAAGGTGGTGTATAAACTTATATACAGCTGAAAACACCTATAAACTATAAATAAATACTTTAAAAGAGTGGGAGAATGAAAAGGGAGCTGGGGAGATGGCTCAGTAGGTAAAAGTGCTTGCTGTCCAAGTATGAATACCTGAGTATAAATTCTCAACACCCACATAAAAAGCCCAGTAAGGCCATCTATAATCCCAGCTGTCTGGGGTAAAGAGGAGTACCAGCATGGCTTACTGGCTACCAGTATAGCTCTAGGTTCAGTGAGAGAGCCTGTCTAGAGAAAGTATGATAAAAAAAAGTGCTATGGCAAGACATCTGGTTTCTGTGTTAGTGCATGGTTGCACACAATTGTATGCATGTATACATATAACACACAGAGAGAGACAAGGTGTAAAAAAATCGTAAAAAGGCAAGCCATTAGGTATGGAACTGGAACTCTTGTACCTGCAGGTAGGCACATAAACTGGGAAAATATTATTGGGGTATCTCTCCTCTGAATTTCATTAGTTATTTGCATAAGAACAGATGAGAGCAGCTTACTAATGACTACACCACCCATTCAGTAATCATTAACCGCCAACAGACCCACAGGGAGGGTCTAATATATACACAAAGAAATGCTGATGGACTCAATCCTGTATAGGTCTTGTAGCATTGTTTTTTAATGTCATACAATTTAAAGTTTCAATTACTTGAGAGTAATTTGAAGATATTTTACCTTTCTTATTCTACAAATGTTTGTACATAAAATATTAAATCAAAACCAACACAGCAAGTCAGAGGAGGAAGAACTAGTATGAGTTTGGTATGTGGATACAAGCTGAAAATGAAGAGCAGCTATATACTAGCCACACCCAGGGGTAGCCCTCAAGGACACTGGGAGATGTGGAAGGTCTTCTCAATAAATAGAGCTGTGAAAAGTGTATCTTGCCATTCACTTTTCTGGGAGAAAGAAGTCTTATGTGGGAATGTATACACTGCTGGAATAAGTTCAGCGGCCCGCCCATGCACAGAGGGAAAAGGGTGGAAAGATGAGGGGCAAGGAGGTCTTGCCTAGAAACTTGCGAGACGTTATGACTTATAACATGGGTATGCTCTTCAAAAACTGTCAACTTACTGCTTCCTTTGTAATGGAAAGGACAAGGAGAACTGAAATAGTTTCATTTACTGGGTATGGGTAACCTCAGATGAGGGAAGTGTTGAGAAAGAGAAACTGCTTTGTTTTGCAGCTAAAATGTCCAAAACTCACATGACATGGTCATATGGCATTTATGTTGTAACACTATTGAAAAGGTTGTAGTTTGAAAATTAACTTAGCAACACAGAACTTCACACAAATCCGAGGTACTCTACAACAACAATCCAGTGGCAGTATAGTCATTGTGTGGGAAGACACCATGTAACCCTGACAAGGGGGCTTAGAGATAATTTTGAAACTGTTTACGTGAAAAATAAAACAATGTGAAGATAATTATGCTACCTTCACCACAAACAGTGAAAAAATTAGTGTATTCACATTTACTTAGAAACATACAAATAATCTTTGGAAGGCACAGTGATTATTTCGAGAAAGGGAGAAAGTTGTTGGCTACAAGACGGAGTGAGAAGGAAATTGCTTTCATGAGCTGACTTTACTCACAACACCTTGCAAATTATGAACTATGTGTATAAATTATTTTAAGAAAATAATTTAGATTTATCCTTTAATTGCAGCACTTAGACAGAAGCAAGCAGATCTCTGTGAGTTCGAGGCCAGCCTTGTCTACAGGGCTATACAAAGAAACCCTGCCTCGAAAAAAAAAACATGAATAAATAAAATAATTTAGCAAAATAATATATTAAGTAGAACTTAAAAACCTAGAACACATCACTTAACAGAAAAACGTACTGTCTGAATTATATTTCTGGATCTTTTACTAACTGCTGGGTAACTTTGGATTCTTGACCTTCTTGCACTTCTGTTTCTTCAACTGTAAAATGAGGATAGTAACAGGATGACTTCACTGGGTTGCAAGCTTAATATAATACTTAGAAGCAGTTGGTAAATGTGGGCTATGGTTACCATGCTACTGTATAGCTCTCTGTTGTGAGTGCTGACATACTAGTAATACTAAAAGATGTCACTAAAGAAAATACTCAGCATTCAAAGCCTCATGTATCCCTCCATTTTATATCACAATGATTAATTTATATTCAGGAAAACGGAGCTCTACTGTTCCCACCAAGTTCTCAAAACAACATTCCTTTCTACAACTGGCAAGATGGAATTTTCTGACATGAGTAGAATTCCCATTTAAGTTGGCAGCCTGACTACTTATGTGGATCTCATCCTCCCTTACTTCTTAGCCTAGCTATTTGAACCTTTAGAGACAGGGTCTCATTATGTATCTCAAAGGGGGCTGGAATCACAATCCTCCTGACTCAGACTTCCAAACACCAAGATTATAAGCACACACCACCACACCCAGGTTTTTAGAACAAAGTGGGAATAGAAAGAGAACACACACTTTTCATATCACCCATGGAGAAAACATTAAAGCATTACCAAGGATAACAGATTTCATTCAATAATTCTCTAAAAGACAGAAAGGAGGCAAAGGCACAGTCACTGATCACTCAAGTCTTTAGCTAAGAAGAAGGGCCATACTGCTCCACAGACCATCAGTCTGAGGTCAGAAATCCAAGAAAGGAGTCATGGGCTGGAAACATATTCAAAAGCTGTGACTCTGTGGATCAGCTCCACTTTCAAGGCAAGAAGGCAGAGGGGCCAGGTCAGTTGGACCCAGATCAGAACTTCTCCAGAGAACAGCTTTTCTTATCTCATAGGCCAGAGCTCCAGATCACAGCCATACAACCACCTTAAGCTGCAAAAAAAGGCTGGAAAAGTAAGAATTTAGCTAGATAACATCTTGCCATTCCAAACAATATCAGGGATCTGGAAAAATTGGAACATTAGTTCAGCAACCAACTACAACAAGATAAAAATCACTGACTTTCACATTTTTGGATTCACCGACAGACAAATCTTAAAAAAGTTATAAAGAACATATTGTAAATGCAGGCAATGTAACAAATTTTCTATCTTTTTTTTGTTGTTTGGGGGGCAGGGTTTCTTTGTGTAGCCCTGCCTGTCTTGGAACTCGCTCTGTAGACCAGGTTGGCCTCAAACTCACAGAGATCTGCCTGCTACTGCCTCCTGAGTGCTGGAATTAAAGGCATGTGCCACCACCTTCTAGCTATAATTTTCTTTATTGTGACTACATATCTTTGCAGCAGAGGCTGGTGTCAGATGTCAAGTGGTTTTACTTACCTGATCCGCTGAAGTTAAAGTCAAATTACCTCTAGACAATTTGGTCTTTTAAAATTATAAACATGATGGAAGGTCATAGACCTATCTATGAATAGTTAAACTAATTTTGAAAGAGAAGTGGTAAATATCATTCTAACTAGTTTCAAAATTTATTATATAGTTTCAATAAAGTCTTATTTATAAACTGGGTATGGTAGCACCTACCACATGGTAATCCTAGCACATGGGAGGCTGGGGCAGAAGAATAAGTCTGAGGGTAACCTGGAATACAAAGTGAGCTTGCGACAATCCTGGGCTACAAAACAAGTCCTGGTATCATGTTTTCTTCTTGAACTCTGAATCCCATGCTTCTATTTTAACTAACTCCTGGAGTCTAAGGCTTATGAATTATTTTACTGCAAATGGTTTGTAAACATTACTTTTTGACCTCAAAATATGGATCACAAAGTAGAGACAAGAATTTAATTTTTCTTTCTTTTCTTTTCTTTTTTGGTTTTTTGAGACAGGGTTTCTCTGTGTAGCTTTGGAGACTGTCCTGGAACTCACTCTGTAGACCAGGCTAGCCTTGAACTCACAGAAATTCACCTGCCTCTGCCTCCCGAATGCTGGGTTTAAAGGAATGCACCATGACCTCCCAGCTAAGAATTTAATTTTAATCAGCTAGGCCTGGTGGTGCTGGTTTGTAATCTCAACTCTCGGGAGTCTGAGACAAGGAGGGCTGCCAAGAGTTTGAAATCTGCCTAGGCTATACAGTGAGATGATATTTAAAAAATAAAACACAACAAACAACAAAAACTGCCAGGCATGGTAGGATTAAAGGTATGATTTAAAACTCAGCACTCTGAAGGCAGAGTCAGGCAGATCTGTTTTGAGTTTGAGGCTATCCTGGTCTACATAGTGAGTTCCAGGCCAGCTAAAGCTACATAGTAAGGCCTTATCTTAAAAGAAAACCAAATAAACAAATAATAAAAACAAAGAAATGGTTTGATGAATGTTGTTTTATACATAATCTCAACACTGGTCTAATGGCTATGCAGAAACCAAGGGCCAAGTATTTGGAAATACAGTTCAGTGTTTTAGGTGGAATGGAGCTGCTTGTGTTTCCTGTTTTATTTCAGTGGAAGAAGCCTGTGCAGATGTCCAGAGTGCACTGGACAGATAAGCAAATCAGTCAAGGACCTTTAAACATGTGGCCTTTGGATTGATATATGTATTTAGTGCCTGAGAAACAAAGCTCTAGTTAATGTATGATTTTAAGACAATACCTGCCAGAAAAATCCTGATTCTTGGGCTTTCCCGTGTCTCCAGGTCTTTTCATTTATAGTTAAATAGTTCTAAGCTCTATACTTCCTTAGGGAATTGTTAGTTTCATGGCTTCTCTAGCTTTTTTATTGTAGTTTTCCCCTCACAAAGTGAAACAGTTATGTCCATGTGAATAGTGGGTACTTGTGGACATCAGATGGGCTCAGTCTACACAAGACTGGCAGGTGGTGTTAAGGTTCTCCTAGGTTCTTCTTCTGTATTTAGGGTCACTCATCTCCTTGGACTTGGCATTCTAAGTTCTCCATGTGGAAGCAGTTGGCAGAGGGCCTAACAGTAGACTGAACAAATGTTTGTTCATTCCTCTGCTCACTAGTTCACTGCCACTTGTTCTGAAGCCAATTACTTTAAATGAGAAAGTCAACTATATTTGTCCCTCCTCTATTCACCCCCATTACCCCTGCCCCCACCCCTGCCAAGTTATTTTCATCTTTTTTTTTTAAACTTCAACTTCCTTTGAGAAACTGTCTCTGCCCTTTGAACTGTGCTACAGATGTTTCCTCTGAAGGAGGTGTAGGGGCCTGTGAAACACTGCAGAGTGCCCAGCATTGCTGAAGCCTGCATTTTGTAGAATACAGGATGTACAGGGCAAACAGTACTCCAGGCAAAATGCAATAGCCTATACAAAACCACCAAGGTTCAATGCCATACATTCCATGTACAATAGCAGAAAGCAAGTCTTGGCTGAGTCAGAAGGGAGCAGCATGGTCAGTGAATCTACTCCTGATTATCATTCTACCAAAGAAAGAGCACCTTCTTGGGTCTGGTTGTCTCATTTGAGAATGGGATATTTCCATTCAAAGTCTGTGTTTTCAGAGAATGTATACTAGAAAATAAAATGTCATTTAAAAATTATTTAGTATTTACCCCAATTTTCTCACTACTTAGTATGATCTGTCTGTTTTCTTCCTTTCCTGTCCTTCACTTCCAGGATATTTATGACTTTAATTTTTAAAACCGGTAAGACTTAGATACCTTACAGATAGGAATCTGGTTTTATTGTGGTCACAGAGGCTTAAGTAGATTAGCGTTTTACCACATAAGCTCTGCTCTTTGCTCTTTGATAAGACACTGAACTAGAACATCAGGAACAGATGTTTCTTTCGGTAGTCATGACATTTGGGGGTCTGCTAATTCATTGCTGTAAAAAGTTAAATACATTTAGTTGTGACAATTAAAAATGTCCTGAAGTCTGACTTGTTGGCTCATGCCTATAATTCCATCACTCTGGAAACTGAGGCAGAATTGCCAGGAGTTCAAGGCCTGTCAGGACAATAAATAAAGTTACAAGCTAGCCTGAACTACAGTGTGAGGCCTTAAACAACAAACAAAAAGCAAAATGTCTTCCTACTTGTCAGCAGGAAAGATAAAATTTCCTGGCATTTAATTGGTGCACAGGTTCTTCCCCTAAGCAGTGAACTGCTCTGTCAGGGTTACTAAAAGAGGACCGTGGGTGTGGAGCATAGAAAGGCAAGATTAAATAACCGTACTCCCAAAACTGGCTGGGGGAGTTTAAATGACATCAGAGATTAGGAAAAGAAAACAAAGAATCGGGGAACCAGAATACAATTGTCATAAACACATTTTCTTTTCTTACCAATTCTTCTTTTCCTTTTTTTCCCTTCATCTAAAAAAAAAAAAAGGTGATCAAAACACATAAGAGGGTTTTTTTTGCTCAAGGTACCATTCCTGCAAAGCTTTTTTGGTTTTATTTTTCCCAGTTTCTGAGCTGGAGAAATGGCTCAGCCGTTAAAGACTAGAATCACAACCAAAATATTTTTCTCAGTTTCACCTAGTATTTTCTTTGAACATTTTGTTTAAGTAATGTATGTTGTACCTGCTTGTCACAAATCCGGCTTTGCTGTACCGTAAGCAACTCAATAAATCTCCCAGAAGGGACTAGAAAGTAGAGGGAGCAGGGTTAAGGAGTAGAAGTAAGCAGGGTTCACACTACAACCTACTGAATTTGAGGAAGACTTGCTACATCGAATATAATCCATAGCCTCTTCTGGGCGCCTCTGACACCGGAGATTAGTAGTTATTTACTGTTTAACACTGGAATATGAAGGTACACTAATTTACAACGAAGTACAAGGGGACCTACTGAAATGAAATGCAAAGGAACACAGGGTGAGTTCTTTAGAGCACGAAGTTGGCTTTCACAATGTCTGTGAGACTGAACACAAATGATCAACAACCAACCAGGCAGATCTTCTCTTGGATGTGTTCCTTAAAGTCTTTCATTTTTCTTCTTAAAGTCTTTCTGTTACCATCCATGAGCAAGTTTTCTTTGATCTCAGTAAGCATTTGGTCCTGGCCAGCCTATTGGAATTTTTCACCTAGGAGGGCTGCCCCAGACAACTATTCACCACACCCAGATCTCAGTATGAACTCGGCCCAAAGCGAAGGCCTCCACCCTGGAAACAGGACACTCAAGATCAGGTCCTCCGGGGCAGATCACCCAGGAACAAGGCTACGGATAGGACAAATCCAGAAGTAGATGGAAAGGCCTGGAGCCGAGACCCAACCCGAACCCCGAGGACCCCAGAGGTCCAGCTAACCTCAGGTCGGTTGCGCTTCTGTAGCAAGTGTTCCAGGTAGAGGTCCGAGAGCGCGGTGCGCATGCTATTCCCACCCTCGCCTTCGCTCGACTTGAGCGTCATCTCGCAGGAGCACCGACACTGGGACACTGGAGCTGTAGAGTTTAAGCCCGGGAATCGCAAACCGGTAACCGCGGCCTGTTCGGAGGCGTGGGAGACTGAGGCGGAGGCGGGCGGAGGCCGCGGAGGCGGCTGAGGCAGCGCAGGCGGCAGAGGAGGAAAGGAACTAGAGCTGCGCCAGCCCCAACCCCGCAGGCTAAGAGCCAGAAGGACTGGGTGGAGCAGTACCCACGCCCCGCCTACTTCCCGCCCTGGCCCGCCCCAAAGCCCACCCACGCCTTGGCCTTTCTCGTGCCTAGCGATTGGAGAAGGCGTACCTTAGGGCTGCTGGGACGCTCTGCTCTTGCCACGCCTCTGCGGGCCCGAGTTGCGCAGGCTGCAGCTGTAGAAGGTGGAATTCCGTCTCGCTTTTACCCGCAGGCCTGAAATACCGGAGCAGATCCAGAAACGTTCAGCTACTGCATCTGCTGCCCCTTTACTATCCATGAGTTGCAACCAGCAGGCCCCTGGTTCCTAGCTAAGGCAACCCAGGAGTTGATTTTATATCCAGTTAGCTGGGACCATCAGGAACCAGCCAGCTTTCCAAGGAAGCCTGAAGGATACAGGGGGTTGACGAGATTCAAGGCTCTTAAATCAGTGTGGTCACAAGGCCAATACACCTTTCAAGTTTAGACTTGTGAAAATGCCTTTACGCTCCTGTGCTGCTGGTGCCATCATTTATATCGGTGTATGCTGTTCAGTGATGAAAGATGGGATTGCCTCAAGAGTGTTTTTACTTACTCTCTCACTGCTGATGCCACACAATTTCTAGGAATCAGCCAAAGCCAATGGAACAAACAATTTTTAAGAATCAGAGTAAGATCCCTAAACATCCAAATGCCCTGGAGACAAATAAAAGGCTTTCTGAGCAAAATTAATGTTTACTGGGCCTAAAGGCTCCTTGGGAACCCTGTCCTTAAAACCATGAGTTCACATTATTAATAATTTAAACCATACCCATATGCCTAGAGGAACTAGTTTTAGGTGGAGAAAGAATGAAAGGCAAGAGAAGAGGGGAGGAGAGAAGGAAGAAGGGGAGATTGGTTCAGAGAAAGAATACATCAAACAATGTTACAGAATGGACAACCCTGTAACACACCTGTGTACATATACAAGGGTACTAAACAATAAAAATAGATGAGTAAAGAGGGTCTTTTATTACCTGAATATGGAACTGGAAAAGATGAAATTGGGACCTTGCTTTATGTGATATGCAAATGGGATTGAACCTCGTTAGTGGACTGCCTAGCCAGCATGCCAAAACCAACAAAACAAAATAAAAACAAAACCAAAAAAACACCATTCTAATATATATTCCTAGCATTTAAGAGGTAGAGGTAAGAGGATCAGAAATTCATTGTCACCCTCAGCCACATAGTGAGTTTGAAGGCAGCTTAAGAAACAAAGTCCTTGTCTCCAAATGTAAATAATAAATAAATAAGGAGAAATAAGAACTTCTTTAAAAAAAAAAAAAAAAGATAACCAAGCATACTGGCACATACCTGTAGTCTCAGTACTTGGGTGGTAAATACAGGAGGATCTTGAGTTTAAATCCATCTTCTGCTACAGGGTGAATTGAGACCAACTTGTGCTGCATCAAATACTTTCTTAAAACAAAACAATCCTTAAACTATAAGGGAATGGGAAGATGACTCATTGGCTAGGATTACTTACTGTTCAAACATCAGGATCTGAGGTTTTTGTTTTGTTTTGTTTCCACTGTTCTTATTTTATTTTAAAAAATAAATTCTTTTTTTTATACATTACATACCAACTGAAGTTTTCTCTCCCTCCTCTACTCCCAATCCCCACCTTCTCTCCCCTCTCCCCAAGATTCACTCCTCTTTCTCTTCAAAAAATAAAGAAGCATGCCGGGCAGTGGTGGCACACGCCTTTAATCCCAGCACACGGGAGGCAGAGGCAGGCGGATCTCCGTGAGTTCGAGGCCAGCCTGGGCTAGTTCCAGGACAAGCACCAAAAACTACAGAGAAACCCTGTCTCAAAAATCCAAAAAAAAATAATAATATAAAAAAAAAATAAAAAAGCAGTCCTCCTAGGGATATGCACTGAACATGGCATAACAAGTTACAGTAAAACTAGGCACAAACACTCGCCAAGGCTAGACAAGGCAATCCAGTAGGAGGAAATGGGTTCCAGGAGCAGGAAAAAGACTCAGAGACAGCTACACAAGCATAACATATATGGAGATGACCTAGCTAGGACCCATATAGAGTGCTTGTGATTGCCACTTCAGTATATTTGAGTCCCTATGACCTCTGGTTAGTTGATTCTGTGAGTGTTTTCTCCTGACGTTCTTAACCCCTCTGGTTCTTATGATCCTTCCTCTCCTCCTCATCTTCCTAAGGATTCCCCCCTGGTTCCCTCTAGTGTTTGGCTGTGGGTGTGTGTATCAGCTCCCATCAGTTGTTGGATGATGGCTTTCTGAGAACAATTATGCTAGGCACTGATCTATGAATATAGCAGAATATCACTAGAAATCATTTTTGCTGACATTTTTAAGTGTCAGTGATATTTGGTTCTATCCTGAGTCTCTGGGATAACCAGTCTCTGGTTCCTGGGCATCCATGCAGTGTGAGGTGTGGGCTACCTCTCATGGTATGTGTAGACTTCAAGTTGGATCAGTCATTGCTTGGCCACTCCCACAAGTTCTGTGCCACTAATTAGCCCAGCGTATTGAGCAGGCAGGACAGAATGTAGGTTGAAGGTTTTGTACTGGCTTGATATCTCAGTCCCAATGCTGGGAGAATTGACTAGTTATAGAAGATGGCAGATTTGGGCTCTATATCCCCCATTACTAGGAGACTTCCCTAGGGTCATTCTTGTAGATTCTAGGGAGTTTCCACTGTATTAGGTTTCTACATGGCTTCTCAAATGCCCCTCAATTCCAGTAGTCTCTTCCAGTATTCTCTCCATTCATCACTCCCCTATCACCTGATCACCCTGTTCCCATCTCCACCTTCCCCCAGTCTACTATCAAAATCTCTCCTATTTCCCCATCTCAGGGAGAGCCATTCAACCCCCTTTGAGCCCTCCTTGTTACTCAGCTTCTCTGGGTTTTTGGATTAGCCTTTACTTAACAGCTAATGCCCACTTATAAGTGAGTACATACCATATTTGTCTTTCTGGGTCTGGGTTATTTCACTCAGTTTTTTTCTATTTCCATCCATTTGCCTGCAAGTTTCCTGCTGTCATTATTTTTTAAACAGTTGAGTAATATTCCATTGTGTAAATGTACCACATTTTCTTTATTTATTCTTCTAGGTTCTTTCCAGGTTCTGGCTATTGTGAATAAAGCTGCTATGAACATAGTAGAGCAAGTGTGCTTGTTTGATGGAGCATCCTTTGGGTATATGTCCAAGAGTGGTATAGCTGGGTTTTGAGTTAGAACAATTCCCAATTTTCAGAGAAACTGTAATATTGATTTTCAAAGTGACTGTACAAGTTTGTACTCCCACCAGCAACTAAGGATGTTGAACATTAAGTGTTTCTCAGCCTTTTGAGATTCCTCTGTTGAGAAGTACCCCATTTTAAATTGGATTATTTAATTTATTAATGTCTAGTTTCTAGTTCTTGAGTTCTTTATATATTTTAGATGTTAACTCTCTGACGGATGTGGAGTTTTCCCATTCTGTGGTCTGCTATTTTGACCTATTGATGGTGGAGGACCTGCATTTGAATTACCAACATCCACTTTAAAAGATGGTCATGGCCACACATGCCTATAACCCCAGAGCTATGGAAAGAAATAATAGGATCTGTTGACTGTCAGCATAGCTCCATATTCAGTGAGACACCCTGTCTTAAGAAAATAGGGTGAAAAGCAATAGACCAGAACACATAGGTCATCCTCCTTTCTGTATAACCATGCATGTATGAAACTATACATATAAGGATGCATACACCTCTCTATTTCTGTATGTTTCTCTCATACACATGTAGACACACAAAAATATATAATAAATATAATGATGAAAAGTATTGTGGGACAGTAGTCTTGTACCCTGTAAAGATTTGTCACTTGTATTGGTTTAATAAAACACTGATTGGCCAGTAGCCAGGCAGGAAGTATAGGTGGGGAGACAAGACTAGGAGAGTTCTAGGAAGAGGAAAGGCTCAGTCTGCAGTCACCAGACAGACACAGAGGAAGCAAAATGAGAATGTCTCACTGATAAAAGGCACCAAGCCACGTGGCTAACACAGACAAGAATTATAGGTTAATTTAAGATATAAAAGTTAGTTAATAAAAACCCTGAGCTAATAGGCCAACCAGTTTATAATTAGTGTAGGTCCTTGTGTGTTTCTTTGGGACTGAACAGCTGCAGAACCGGGCAGGACCGAAAACTCTGTCAACAAAAAAGGACTTGATATATATTAGCAGAAAGTATTTTTAATACATAAAAGCAACAGAGGATTCCTGTTATGAATTATAAAGATGTTGTACAGCATTATCCTCTGAACCAAAGAGCCACCATCTTCATTAATTCATCTGTGTCTGCTATCAAAAGATCATCATAGCTGGATGTGTTAACTGTAAACCTTTCCTCATAGAATAAGGGCACATGGGAGGTCATATGACTCTCACTTGAGTTTTCAGCCATTGCTTTCAATAAGTTGTATGCAACTTTGTCCTAATTATTCTGGTTCCTGGGGAGGGACTAGTGTATATAAACTGTGGAAAGTTAAGAGAATGAAGACGCATCTGTGTGGCTATGGAGAAGCCATCATCCATGTGGGATAAAGGCTTTCAAGTGTGGGTTCTTTGCTCTAATCAGTGGCCCTCTCTCCTTGGTTTTCCATGAAGAACTTCCATTGACTACAACTTTGGTTTGTCACTGGGGCTTTGGTAGGAATGGGAACAAAAGTACTACAAATTAACAAGAAAAACACAGTTCAGTAAAGAAGTGGACAAAAGGCATAAATAAACATTTCACAATGAAGAAAATACACACAGTCAATGGCCTCGATATGCTCATATATTTGAATGGCTAGTCACCAGGGAGTGGAACTTTTTAGTAGGATTAGAAGGATTAGGAGGTATGGCCTTCCTGGAGTAGGTGTGGCTTTGTTTGAGGAAGTATGTCACTGGGGGTGGGCTTTGGAGTTTCAAAAGTCAGACCTAGTGCCATGTTCCATCGTTCTGTCATTTTGTCTACTGA